TGCAAGCACAGTGAGCAATAGTGGACCTTATCCAGCAGTTGATATTTGGTCATAATTAACATCATCGATCAATGACAATTAGTTTAAAATCCAAGCACATATGCACTGCATTCATATAACCAAGAAAAAGATGACTAGAGGCTAATAAGCTTCTCCAAAAACCATGAAAACTGAGAACTAAAAATCAAGAGGGCTGCCAACACAGTACAAACACACACTTGACCTATTACTTCTGCAAAGGAGAGAGTTTAAGTGGGAGAAAAAAAGCAGAGAATGACAGGCTCTTTCAGACTAAAATCACAGTATATATATATACTTTTTTCAGCTGAGTTGAAAAAAAATCAGCTGAAAAGTAATGAAAAAGAAATTCCTCCTCATCTATCTGAACCAAAGTGAATGGAGGGATTGTGAGTGAATGCTGACAGAATATTTTCTTTGAGCGTCCTGCTGGCTGGGGTGCACAAGGTATCATGTAACCAAGAATGATATCCAGGGTTCAAGTGAGGCCTTGGGCAACAAGTTATAGCAACACAACCATCTCTCCCAAATATTTCTCTGCTCCCTTTCATATGAGTTTAAAAAGACAGCCGAAAACGAACATTGGATACATCTACTCTTATCTACGAACATTCATACACAAAAGTAATACAACATAGTGGAGACATTTCAGGACACCCTAGTTTTCTCTCTCACACGCGCAGAAGCAGCCAGTGTTTGAGCCAAAGTACTTGGGATGAAAGTGCTTGGAGTTTAAGCTGATTTCAATCTAAAACCATATGCTGACAAGCTTTTGTCTAAGTGCCAGCATCCGCAGCCAGATGAGATTAAACACACGTACACACACATGCACTTACCATCGCCATCATCCCCAACTACCATAGTTACAGTGTAATGGGTAGAACCTTCCTGTTGCCTTTGTCCGCCTTCACTTCTGCCCCTCTGTTTTCCCCTTTGTTTTCTCTTCTATCTCCTTTCCTCCCCCCGTTTGTTCAATCTCTCTCTGTCTCTGTCATGATGAATCAGGGAGAGGCACTGATAGGCACAGCGCTGTGACTCGGCTACTGCCAGCGATCTCTGTCAGCTTCCTCCCTCGATCCTTTCCCCTCCCTGCCTCCCTCCCTCTTCTCTCAGCAACAGCTGCCTCAAACCCTTTAAAGCAAACGCCAGGACCCGGCCTACAAACGAAGTGGGGCAAGGGCACTCTGTGTGTCTATGTGTGTTTCAGTGGATGATGTGAGTTTGTGTCTTGCACTCAGAGATTGAGGAGTGCTTAGAAAAAAAAAAAAAACAAGAACCCGGCAGCTCATGCTTGTCGCATTCAGTTTCTGACCTGTTTTGGTAGATTTTCTCACCAAACTAGAAAAAAAAAACTGTGAACAAGGGACTGATTGGTGTTAAGTGCCAAATATAATTTAAGAATCCAGGAGCAGGTTGGACAGACAGACTCCAACATTTTGTATTTTTTTTGATCATTATTTTTTAGCCTTTTTGCCTTTATTCAATAGTGAAGTCGAGAGAGAGACAGGAAAGTGGGGAGAAGAATGGGGGAAGGACCTGCGGAGCGGGACTTGAACTCATGACCTCCACGTCGGGGACTATAGCCCCTGTACATGGGACGTCAGCTCTACCAGGTGAGCTATAGCGGCGGAAATGTGTGTGGGGATCTAACCACAAGTCATACTCAATCAATCAATCAATCAATCTTTATTTCTAAAGCGCTTTTCATACAATAATGTCATTCAAAATGCTTTACAGATTAAAATCACCTCTGATTTCATACTGTTTGGACAGAGCTTACATTTCCAAGTATTTTTCACAAGAACACTCAGACAACAATGTTGATAGATTAGTTAACCAGCAGAAAATTAATCAGCAAGTTTTTTCGATCACTTGTTTATGTTTACTTGTTTTTCCAAGCCTCCCATATAATACAACCACCAGTTTGTTCACTGCAAGGATCATGCTTCTCTCTCTAAACAGGGCTCCAACTAACAGTTCTTTTCATCAATAATAGAACTTATTTTATTAGTTGTCTGGTCAAACCACACCGGAAAAAAAAAATCACAAATACAGTGTCCTAAAGCCAATTTTGAGATGTTCAAATCAATTCTTTCATCCGACAGTCTAAAGGCCAAAGATGAGGTTTACTATCACAGAAAGTATCATCAGCAAATCACTAACATATCGAATAGGCTCTGAACTAAACATTTTGGACATTTTTAAACATTATATATAGACCAAATCATTCATCATGTAAATAAATAGCATTGATAATCAAATAACCAGAGAAGTACCAATAATTTTATAGTTGTGGGACTCTGGTTGACCAACTGTGGCATGCAAATCTGCAGTGGCTGTAGCATAAGAAAGAAAGAAGCTTAAGTAAACGTGAGGTAGCATTCAAGGCCAAACAGCAGGAAACCGAGCTAAAGTTCCCCATGGTAAGCACCTGCAGTCACTTCCACTTTATGTTAACTCAGACGGTTTGGATACAGTCACTGCATATGTTCACAGCATCAAGAGCTTAAGGCAGCTGCAAACAGTGGCCACTCAACATAAAATAGAAACAGAAGCACTAATACAAACCACTATTCAGTAGCTTTGAAACAGAACTATTCAACCACTAGGTTTGCTGTTCAACAAGTATCTGACAGTTGCATGGCTTGTAAAACCATTTGTTGTGGAGAATAGTTGAAGATCAAGTGCGCGATGTGCCTGATTTATTGACCACTCTATGTTTTGTTCACCATGTAAGCCAGCTTTTTCTCTCCACCAGACTGCAGCAATGTTCCCTCCTATGATCGTTTCCCCACTATTATAAATACAAAGTGACAAGCCAATGGTGCAAAGAATTCCTCCTTTTGATAAAAAACACTGCATTCATCATGGGCAAAGCACATGATGGGAAAAAAATGACACAGTTAAAAAAATAACACATCCCTTTAGCGATTGATCACAACAGCTTTGGATCGTGGACCCAAAACACAACTTTGCTCTAAACCCTAGGGAGGTGGGAGTTAAAAAAAATAACACTCCTTGTCCTTCTGCTGCCACCAGAGACAGCATCAACAACACCCACTGCACACCATGAGCTTTTCCTCATGTCTCTCCCAATGCCTTTCTCCGAGTAAACAGGCTGCAACAGCATATCGAGCACCAACCACTGCTGTCGCTGTTAGACAGGCAGATACAGTGACAGGGCAGCCTAAAGGGACCATCATCCAATGACAGAATCTGCTAGACATCAACAACAGCCGGAACTGACCTCAGAGGGAGCACCAACTCTGCTTTGAACCTCACAGTTAAGAATGAATTTCACCAGGATTTGGGATACATTTATGTAAGGAGATATATAGCTCTTTTTTTTTTAACTTTTAAAGTATTACACAAAATGCATACGTAATCCAAATATTATGTATACAGTCTACAATTTGTTTCCACAGTGAATTCACGCCGGTAATGCCCATCACTACACCCGCAGTTATTTGCTGAAAACCACACTCCCCCGTATCATATAATTAAGCTTTTATGCAGCTTTTGATTTTCCAATTATCAACATTTCCATGACAAGTGTGAACAAAAGGAAGAAAAAGATCAAACACCCTGGGAAGGAAAATACAATGTCTTCGTTCCTGCTGATCCTGAATGAGACGATTCCATTTCAATGTAGCTGAATAAATTAACGACTCGTACGTCAAAGCAGTGCTACTGAAATCTGACAAGTGACCTGGTACAGACTCATCTTTTTCTCTCCAGAACACTATTCCTATATCTCAACACTGGGTATCTGATCATACCAAATACAAATCTGATGTCTCTTGTTCCTGCAAATTTTAAATCTGTTCATCCCTCTGCAACTGGAAGGATTGTTTTGTGAGGTAACTTGAGGTCAAAGATTGCTGTGACACTTGAAAAATGAGGTGGCAGCCTGTGTGACTGAATGACCAATAGTGGAAACACTTTGTGTGAGGTAGCCGGAGTTTTGTGAGATCAAAATCACCCTGCTATGCTCCAACATATGTGCTTGCCACCAATGCACAGCTTTTTGGACAAATAGATGGATGCTTCATCCAAACACGATTTTTCAGCCTGCCCTTTTCCAAAGCTTTCCAAGGACGACTTCTCAAATCTGTGGAAGGCCAGATTCTTCTGTAGATGTCAGTCCTAAATGTGTGTCAGTGCATCCACTGTGCTACCAGTGCAGTAGTGTGCATGCTCTGTAGTGGTGTACATGTGTGAAATACGTAAACGTTGATCTACTGCACATGTATGGAACCGATTCCTCCAAATGGGCTCTCACTGACTAGAAAAGGCACATAATAGCAACAACTATGCACCTGCAAATATGGAGATGCCCATGTGTGCGTCCACACAGGAGTTTATTTATGATTTAACAAACCACCTGGACTGCCAGGTCGGAATTCTGTGACACTAACAAACACACTGGATTGATCAAATAATAGCTGACCTTTTGCCAGCCTGCAAAAGAGATCACTTTGTGAATCAATGCACACTAAAGGCTCTTCATACAAGCACCTAATACAAGTCTGAAAACAAAGCTAACAATAGATATGCAAACAGGGCAAGTGTTATGTAAAGTGAAACATCACAATTAGGAGTGTCGTCCATACAATTTTCACTTGGATTGGTCAAAGACAACTGGCTAAGGCTGAGACGCCCAGAGATCCATGGTCCATGCTACTGATGGATAACAAAAAACTCAGCAGTCGCCTTCAGCTCAGGTCTGGCTCTGTCGGAAAACCCGCGCACACACACTCACACAAACACACGTAGACACACTAAACCATTAATCCTGTTAGGTCCTCTTACAGGAGCTCATGGCAACAAACTGACACAACCACAAAAGCACAAGCCCATTTAGACATGCACAGGCCACACACACAAACAACCTGACAACAGTAAAACCATCTTGACAACATGACTCAACCTGGTGGCTCTCCAATGCAACTGTGGCAAAATAAATGAGAAAAGGCACTGACCGTGACTCGGGCTGAGAGCCATGTTGCCTGAATTCAAGGCTTCATCAAAACGAGCAAATATTGTCTGTAACCTGAAGAGAAAGAGAGAGAAAAAACAAGGTTAGAGCAAAAGCACAGACATACATAACAATGTTAATAAAATAATTACAATTTCAGAACTACATACATTCATATCAGACTGTATTAAAGAAACTACAGCCAGTTTTCTTCCATAATATGACAAAGAAAATTCACACACAGATGGATGCACACAGAGACACCCCCAACGTCGACCTAGAGACAAACAAGGTGCTGTGAATCCCAAGTGAGAGTATCAGCAGCAGCAACATGTGGACAGCTTACCCGCCTGTCTGTCTGTTAGTGGGTGGGTGTGTCTAATATGGCAGTCACTCATGAAGCTGCAGTAGTAACACGACAAGATTCCTCCTCAACATCCTGCTCAGCATCAGACACAGACACGCAAACACAAATTACGATCCAGATCTGCTCAGTCATGTGATTTACAGGTAGGACTGTTTGCAGAATAACAGGGCAAAGATCTCGCCCAATCCACAGACAAGTCAAGCTAACAATATGGCTTTTCACAAATCAAACCCTCAAACATCTCCTGCTCCCTGAACAGTGTCAGTTACACATGTCTGGTATGACAAAAACACAACCAAGACACAATGACACATGTCCAACAACATGTCCTCATCTCTCATTGCCAAAGGTTAGCGAGGGAAGTGAACATACAGGTATTAGAATCATACACACCGTCCTTTATCTGTCTGTTTCTCTGTCTTTTGGTGCCTGGTTGCCGGTCCACAGCTTAGCAGCTCCTGATAAGTGACGATTAGCGTTGCAACTGGCTCCTCAGCCGTGCAGCATTTTCACGTGGTTCCTTTCATTAGCATTTTGTTTGTCTTTTTGATTCAGAAATAACCGTGCAATTAGTCTCCGGTTCTAACTCAGTATTTCCCAGTGGACTGATTAATAGGTTGCTACGTTGCTGCGCAACGTTGCATTAGCTCCCATGCTAGTGACACACTCTGGTCCTCAGCTCTTTGTATCCAACATGGTGCAGTGGCTCTGAGAGGGAGGGAGGAAAGAAGACGGGAAGAGGGAGAGAGAGAGAGAGAGAGAGAGAGAGAGGAAGGGAGGGAGGGCGTGAGAGAGAGAGGGAGCCAAACAGCGAGAGACCAAAGCATGCTACGGGCATGCGATGAGGCACCACCTACTGTAGCACATACATACTGTATGTCTGCACACACAACCCCTAAGATATCAACACCGCGGTACAGAGCGTTAAATCTCAGGCAGCGTCTTTGTGTGTGTAAACTGTATGCGAGAAGGAGATTCAAGTGGGCCAGTCTGTGTGACAGGCAGCGAAGAGATTCAGTTACCCTTTACATAACCTCCCTCCCATACGCAGACACACACATATTCGTCAGAGGGGGAGGGGCTGTAGCTAGAAGCAGACAGAACGCAAGGCTGCTCCTCCCCCCTCCATATCTTTCCCTCTCCCCCCACTCTTCATATTTCCTAATTCCAGGAGCCCATTCTCACACTGCTGCTGACTGTCATTGAATAAGGGTCACCCAGTGTCGAGTGGAGACGACTCAAAAGTGCAGCTCATTTCACTTTTGAACAAAAAATGTGCGCATGGGGCAGATCTACTGAATGCTCAGTCAACCTGCATCTGACCCACTTATAGGAGACTGTTGTCAGATGACAATCCTTTGTTGTTACTGTTAATAAACCTGGAGGTGCTTGGTGCTGGTCTCTCATGTGGTTGTAGTACAGATATCGCTCTGTCTAAAAAGCCTGTCTCTCTGTGGTTAGTTCCCTACTTTTTGTCTTTTTTTGGCTGAACTGGAATGAACTGCAGGCTACACAGAGCAGAGAGGAAACCAATTGAAAATGCCATGGTTGTGCTGTTTCCATAGAGGTGTAGGACTTTATATTGCAGCGACTTTTGAAAAATGAGCCCATAGTGAGTAAAATTGTAAAAAGAGCAAATGACACCTAGGACCTGCATAGAGGTCAGAGGGTTAATCCTTCTGTTGTCTTTCATGCTTCTGCCAAGTTAGCTCTCTCATACAGAGTAAAAACTGACTGGCATAACACATAAAGGCTGGAGTCATTCACCTCCACCTTTAATTCTCTGTCTTCTACACTCCTTTCTGTGTAATGAGTCAATCTTTCTCTCGATGATCTGATGTTAGGGCGACAGAGCTATGATACAAGATATGTGATTCAGTCAGCAAGCCTCTGGCCACAGCCCTGCATTTCATTTGGAAAACCATACACTAACACATACACACACAACCTTTCCCCAGGTTTCATACTGGAGCTACTTTTCCAAAGACAGACTGTAATCTGTTGAATCATCACAAATAATAGTAATAAGAAAAGTTCCTGCATGCTGGTACTGCACAGCTGGTACTTCAATTGTATTGATGTTATTGCATCTAATATCTATCCCACTGAGGTTTTATGAATGTGCACACAACTACTAGAGCTTCAATATTTACTAGTAAACACAACGATAAAAACAGGTATGACACATTTGTGCTGCACACAATGTGCAAAAAATAGGTATTTATTTTAAGGAATCTCCTAAAAATTGTTCACAACATCTATAAAGAACAAGTTGAATTTTCAGACCTAAATCACTGCACCTGTCAGGCCCCTACATACAACCTAAGGCAGACAGACTCAACAGTCAGCACAGATCCCACATGCATAGACAGCGTGTTTACACTGGAGACAGACTGGCTTAATATGCACAACACATGACACACGGCCACAGCCAGCATTCACAGACGCAAGACTCATGCTGAGCAGTCAGCACACAACACTGGCTGTTGCTTGAATTCCACACATGGGAGAAAGAGGAAAACTGGGGGGAGAAAGAGGGGGTCGCTGTGTGCTTAGAATAACCCTCAACCCTGCACATGTAACCAGGACGACCGAAGAAGGACCACTCAATGAACCCTCTTCAGATGACTTGAACACACACACACACTTTCTCCAATTTTTCCTCAATTCCGTGACTCCGCCCGACGCCTTTGTGCCCCGGCTGCCCCCTCCCAACCTCAGTCAGCATTGTGCTCTGGATGAAAGTGCCTCTGTGTGTGTGAAGGGCAGAGTGGTGCATGGTGTGGCCTGGGACAGAGTGAGTGCCAAGGCCACGGGACCCACAGCCCCTCCACACAAACACACACACACACAAATAAAAATACTATCAGTGCCCACAAAGGGAGAGCACGACAATACAGGACAAAAGCACAAAAACTCACCGTGCAGCTGGAAGTCCTCTCTTTCCCAGGTCTGCTCTGACTCTCTCTCCAACATGACGATAAACATCCACCAGTGTTGTTATGGAAGCTTCACGTACCTACACAGAGAAGAGCAATTTAACAGCCCTCCGGCACATGCACAAACACAAAAAGGCTTCCACATTATGTCTAGTGGTTTACCTCGCATGCACTGCCAAAATAACCTGTGTGTGTGTAAAAATTATGGTTAATTTTCCCTAATGATTTGTTAAAGATTACCCTCACTTACACAGACTAAGAGGTGTAACCATAAACACACATTAAAATATAAACCCTTCAGGGCCCACACTCTATCCTCCAACGGGAGACTTCTGATTTGCTAGTTATGCTGTGAACACTGTTGTGATTGGGCAGTGGGACATTGTTAAAGGGATTCTCTGCAACTGAGGGTGGGCGGGCCTGTTGAAGATGTTGATTGGTTAGGATGTATGTGGGTAGATAATCATTGGGTAGAAGATAGAAGCAGATTTCAGCTTTGGGGTGCAACTCCATGGGAGGTTAAACCAACCTCTCTCACACACACTCGCTAGTGCCATTGTGTGGGTTAACGACTGGGTGCTGGTGTTCATGATTCAGCAGTGAAGCTGGGTGGGGAGGGGGACTACAGAGCCCATCTTCTCACTAATAACAGTAATAATCACAGAGCTGGCTTAAGATGCCTGCCAGCACACGCTGGATACTGAGAGCCAAACCAAGGGCTTAGATGTAGACTGATACAAAGAAGAAACAATGACCTCTGGGATCTCACATTCACACACAGAGAAGGCACGGTATAAACAAATACACTGTCATGCTGATCATGTATAATACTGCTAAATCACTGTGTCTCTTACCTGTGGGTTTTGGTCTCCAGTAAGAGAGCAGAGATGAGGAACTATTTTACTGAGGCTCAGTGGCTGGGCTCCATACCTGAAAGAGATCCACAAGAATAGCATGAAAAGAGTGAATATCTGATGTTGCTATCTCATAAAATCCTTGCCTCGAACAAAGTTTTTGGGAATTCAGAAAACATGTATATTGTTTTTAAAAGCCTGGTATAGAACAGGTTATAGAAAAGCAATGCAAATTATATTCATAAGAAAAACAACAACAATGTGGCATTCTTAGGGTAGCCAAGAGAGCTCAACACACAGCAGCTAGAAAAATAAAACACAAGAAAAGAGAGGAAATATTTTTGCATCTAGAAAAAACAGCACAGGTAAACAAAACACAAGCAAATTTAGAAACGCTTTCATCACCTAGAAAACAAGAAATTCACTGTAAATATAAAAAACCACAAGCAAATAAAAATGTTTTTTTGTGTTTGCTTTGTCCTTTACCATTTAAAAAAAAAAACTGTACTACACTGAGTTTTCTTCATCACTGTGATATGTGAAGCAATGTGGACTGCACACAAGAGAGAACAATGTAAATATGCTGAAACCCAAAAGCCGACCATGTCTGTGCCGTGCTTTACTGTCTACTCATTCTTAATGGATGCTCAAGCTGTCTTTAGCTTTACTATCGTGCAACAGTTTAGCATTTAGCACAACAGTGTCACTTTCCATTAGCAAAAACATGCTATAATTAGTACAGCAATTCTAACAGCCTCGATTTGCTGTGTGTGTAACCTTCAGGTGGAAAACACAGTAAAGGCCAACGTGCGTATATCTTAACTGCTGTCAAACAAGCTGCAACAAACAAGCATCTGTTTAGTCTTACATCTATATGCATGTTTCTTTAATGACACTTGGAGTTATGACAGCAGCATCCCTGCTATCACTGGCTATGTGGGTTCGTGCTGCAGCAGAAATCCTCTCATCACTAATTGGAGGAAATGAGGACAAACTAATTCACTTAGAAATAAGCACTTATGGCGAAAGACTGCAACATCACATGACAAAAGCCGTGGAGCCATTTGTTTCACATGTGCCACCTCTACGGAGTCCCACAAACAGTTAAGAGGATTAATCCTGAAGACAGAGAACATGTGTGTTACTTGAACAAACAAAATGGGTCATGAAGGTGGCAGGAACAGCTCTGTGCACCCCCTGTTGTGTGGGACATACATTAAGCCAAGCTGAAGATGCATGTGAACAGTGTGAGATTAGGACTGCAAATCTGTATTCTGTGTGTATATATATTAAATTCAGTGTAAGAACTAAACAGTGACCTTCTGCACACAAGAGGGAAAGAAAATATGCCACATCCCGAATAGTCTTACACTTCAAAAGTGAGCCTTTTACACACAGATTAAGAAAGAGAAGTAACTCACGTGCTAAGGGTGGCACTGAGACAGAGGCAGATTCCTTCTCGACTACGGAAGTTCTTGTGTTTGAAACCAGGAAGCAGTCTTTCCCAAACATACTGTAAGAAGAGTGAGAATGAGAAGGATAAGAGTGAGAGAAGGTTCTGCCAGGTAACTCATCAGTGGTTGAAGAGATTACAGAGGACAGAGGAGGTTACAATCTGTGGAGGTGTGCATGTGTGGTGTGTGTGTGCAGGTAATACAAAACAGAGTAGATGTAGCCACTGTAATTCCTCTAATGCCCAGAAGAGGGAGATACAACACAGATTGCCTCTGTGTTGTAGTGAGAATATATTATTAAAGTGCAGGTGGCAGTGATTTGCTTGCTGTGTTCCTGTTCTGCATCTTAAACACGCACTTTTCCAAATGATTAGAATGACTACAATTGATGTTAATAGGCTGCAGCCAACAAAATGTACAATATAACAATGCTTTTCACAGCTGCAACTTTTCATACCATCTGCTGTCACTTTCTAAATCTAAAATACAGTCCTGCTTTTTTTTTTTTTTTTTAAATGAAAGCCGATGACCACTCTGGATTGACACCTAAATCAGCTTTGCATGACAAAAAACTATCACTTCTTTTGGACGCCTGTCATGTGGTGCAAGTGGCGCATGACATCAATCAATCGCATTACAAGAGGATTTGTGTGATCAGGGTCCCGAGATGACGATTTTTATGTACATGTCTGTGTGAATCTCACCATGGGCGAGGCAGTCTGCTCCATGCAGCGGAGGATGAGCGCTTGGCTGTTTTCCCTGACCTGGTCCTTCCCATCACCCAGCCTGTCCACCAGAGCTGGCAAGACTACAGACAGAGAAAGAGAAGGACAAAGGGAGCGAGAGAAAAAGAGGGTGGGGGTGGTGATGAGAGTCAGAATATGAAAAATGCAGTTCAATGTGTACCTATGTCAAGTACAAGAGAAATTAGGCCACACATGACACCAAAATCTGTACTGGATTTAAATGCCAAAGATAATAAAGACTGCCCCCAAGTGGAGCGCTTTTAAAAGACAGCTCCATACAAAAGTGCGTGTTCACATTTAGTACGGTCTGTGGGTGTGTGGCAGAGGAAGAAACTCAGTGTAATGTAAAAGCTGAAGCAATACCACCATCGACACCAGGGCTCTGACAAGACAAGGGAAAAGAGTGGACGGGAAATGGACCGTGACTAAAACAATGTCAAGATCATCAAAGCTCTCGTGTCAGTGAGGCCGATGCAGTGACACACAGTAAAGAATAAAAACCGAGAGCCTTTAAATGCTGGCGTTCCAGAGAACTAAAATGAACCAAGGTTACTCTCATCTCTATGAAAGAAGGAACGTTGTTAATAAAAAATATATATCATCGGCTTTGTACATTTTGAGCTTCAGTATTACATACAGTGACATAGCTGCTTTTAATTTTAAAAAGTTCTTGCTAATATGAATTTTTAATCTCCAAAGAAGCTATCCTATTTAAATGAAGGGTTTGACAACATTCTATATTTCTCTTAAATCTTACAAAAAAAAGCAAAACTAACAATGAACATACTCTACTTACAAGAACTGCCAGTGTAACCAAGGCCTAACATAACTTAATTTCTGTTACATAGACTTCCATTGTTATGACATGTTTGTTCATTACAATGAACCCACTCACAGCAGTTTATTTTGAGTTGAGCCCATGTACACCGTCATACCTCCATAAATACTCACAAGCACATTTTCACAGCTTAAAATAGCCCCTAACAAATAAATGATTTAAATTATGTTTGCGAAAAAATATAGTGCCTATTTTAGGAAGCTTGATAACCTTTAATAAAAATGAATGCAGCATATTTTTGAGCTCATTTTAAAGAATTATGTTCCTGTTGATTCCAGAGGGGCTTCTGGATGACAGCGGCGGATATATTTGGTTCAGTAAGTAGAGAGAGATTTACTGACATTTACAGAAACATACAGCTGTGGCAGCCTCATGCTTTAACTCAAAGTCCAAAATACAGGTCAAAGTTTAAGGTGATTTCTGATAAACATTCTGAGTCACAAAAAAACTTCAAACCTTTCTCTGTCATTCACTCAATGAGATAACATAAATAAACAGGGAATGGCATGAGCACACACACACACACTCCTACCCACATTCTTCATCTGAAACATCAGCGAGGGGAGTGATAGAGTGATGTCATCCGTCCTTTTCCTGTGTGTATGCGTACGTTATGCTACCAAAACAGCTGGTTGCCTTGGCAACAGGGACAATACCCTCAAACATGAAAACATGACAGGGGAGGCATTGTTGCACACACCAGCGTCATTTGCTGTAGTAAAGATGAAAACATACACACAGACTTCAACGGAACTATCCAACTTGGAGGTCACACAGCTGCCAGGCCAATCACATCACTTCATTTTATCTGTCAAGCTGCAAACAAGGCACTATAATTGAGTCAGAGCTACATCTCTACGTGCGCTGTATGTTTCACTTGCGTTTTCACCTCACACAAGGGAGCGACTTGGCAGGATGGCCAAGAGCGCGGTGTCAAAGTGAACGCACAAACACGCGCACGCACGCACATACACACTGTAATTGCAGCAGCCCTGTATAATAAGTCAGGCCTGTAGATCAATACAATCACTCAGTGTCAATGATCTCATCTTCCTCCCCTCAGTGTGCATGTGTGGGAAGAGGGTGGGTGCAGTGAGAAGGAGGGAGTGCTCAGGAAAGGAGAGATGGAAGTCAGATGGAGAGAGGGAGATTCCAGAACCGGCGGTGGTTCAGAGAGTTGTTTTTACCATCAACGTGAAGCACAGAGTTCCATTACACACACACACAAACTCAGCTCGGCTAAGGCACTGTCCTGGACGGTGAGCGGATATACAGTGTGTGTGTATACTGGTTCGTGTGGTGGCAGACTTTGCACAGTGTGACAGGCCCAGTCATCCCAGAGCTGCACTGCAGGGTTGAGCATGTTTGCTGGTGACAAGAGCCAGTCTGGCTGACAAAGACAGCTGGTGGCACCTTAAGCGGGTACAGACAAGGGCTGGCACTGACATAACACGCACTTACAAAGCATGAAATCCGACACGAGATTCAGTCTGTGAAGTCATGAATGCAAGGTGTGGTTTTGGGGTGTAATAGGGTGAGCTGTAGCTGAAGAACAGAGACTAAAACATGTGTAATAGACAGGGGGTGGTGCCAGGCTTGACAGCAGTGTTGCTATTCTGTCTCTGGGGAACCACAAAGTGGAAGTGAGAGACAAAATGGAAGGACATGTGCCAAAACGCTGAAGAGTCTGTACAACAACACATAAACTACCTCACTAAGAATGGAGAAGCAAAACTGAGTCAGTATGCACAGTTTTTGTGAGGCTACCTATTTTTCAGTCCGAAAGCTGCTTGAACTAAAGTCAGTGGGACAACCTTGTCCTTGACAGACACTCACTGCTTAAGATAATGGATGAAGCACTTTGCAGAAAGCATGAACTTTTGAGCCTGATGAACTGAACAAAGGAAGAGATCCTTATAATCCCTCTCACAAAGGAGGACAAGGTAGATGATGAGTGTGCGCTGGCTATAGAATGGCTGAAAACAGGTTTGTGCACGTTCGCTATCCGTTTCATGCACAAAAGATCCACTAGAAAACATAAAAAGCATTTGTGCATCATAAAGTTTTTTTCTACAGCATTTCATAAGTAGTGAAAGCTTACTTTGAGAACAACTATAATCTTTTCATGACTGAGTTTCACTGTACGAGCACAACCTAAAGGAAATCCAAGGTGGAGGTAGGCAACATATCTCACCTGTGCCAAGGTATCCTTTGAATCGTTCTCCCAAGCGATCCACAAATGCACCACAGATGTCTATCCCCAACAACGCCACCTACAAAACACAGTGAGAGAAGGACAAAGGTTACAGCAGGTCACACCCAATAATTAATGCATGGATTCTGGTCTAGAGATTTCCACACCGACTAATATCACTGTCTGTACATAAACCACAGTTGCAACATTGATAGAAAGAAGTATGATCTGATTCTCACTGCAGAGGGTTTTAGCATAATGTAAAGTCTATCTTGGGATCCTGACTGGATTTTTAAAAAGCTGCTTCAAGTTGTCACCCGAGTTTTTGCTGACTCGGCAGACAGTGGAGAAATTTTACCACGGGATCAAAGTCATGCCTTTACTCAGTCATAAAACTCAGGCCAGTCAGTCTGCCATGTGCTTTTTAAATCTTTCTGAATCCCCAAAAATCAGATGTCTAGATAAGCCTCATAGTGTGACACAAATAAAACACCTAGCCGAGACTGGAAATTAGAATATACCAGAGGAAAAAAATCCAGCGAAGAAATCCAATTCATGGTTTTACTGTCTGTATAATAAAATGACTTCACTTTTATTCAGAATGCCAAATGTCCATATTGGGAGTCCAATTGTTGTCAGATGATTCATGTGGTTGTCCAGCAATCTGGTGATAATTAAGTGAAATGGGGCAGCAGACCGAATGAGCTGCACCGAACACTGATGTTTATACCAGGCTACTTTAAAGAGCCCACATTATGCTTTTAGGGTCTTTCCCAGTTTTTTTAGTGTGTAATTGCTTTTTGTGCATGTAAAAGGGCTGGCAAACTTACAAAGCCCAAAGTTCACGCTAAACAGAGTTATTCAATGCTTTCAAAACAATGCTTCTTACCTGCCTGAAAACCCTCATTCAAAGGCAAGGGGCTTCTTCCCTGACTTATTAACGTTACCATGTGGCACATTTGCATAGTCGAGAGTCTAATTTGACATCACTCCAAACACAGAACGAGCACCTTCCCTGCAAGCTGCCATTGTTTCCTCGCTAGAGTCACATCTGGTAGGACGCTCTGCCTATACTCATAGATCTGGGATTCTGTACATAACCTTCATTACCTCTCTTTGGTTATGGCAGCTGACCAATGAGAGCAAATGTGTTTTTTGGGGGGGGAATAGTGCCTTTAACAGACAAAGGGTGAGAAGAGATACTACAGCAATGCACAGTATAACAAAACTATGACATTGGATTTCATCATTAAAGTATAAAAACATAATCTAACAGTATCCAAGAATTAAAAAAACAAAACAGTAAATAAGCATAACACGGGTTCTTTGAGTTAGCATATGCATAAAAACCTGAATGCAACACCGACATTTTAATCATCTTAAATGGCCATCCTTAACTGCGAAAATAAATGTCACATTTAATGGTTAACGCCACACTGTGTCAGATGTTACTGCATGTCAGCAGCTGTGGCACTCTTGATTATGTAACACTGTTGTGTCCTCTTTATACTACCTGCATAACAGCAGCTAAAGGAAGCACACACTGGTTTGCACGTAAGAGTAGCCATAAAATTCTAATGACTTGGATGTCAGCATAATTACCAGATTCACCTGTGGAATAAAACGCGGGGGCGACACCATAATAACATATACGCATCACATTTATGATGTCATGACGTTTGCGAAAGTCATCCTTAATAGTCCCCTCCCTAACTCATCGCTTTTGCCCCTCGCTGCAAAGGGAAAAAAAAAAGGTCTGTGACATGAGTAGTAGGGGGAAGGTAGACAAATTTTTGTGTCTAGCAGTAGAGTTGAGTTTTTCCACTGTGTTTCTGATTAGAATCACATCCCACACTGCGCTGCGCTCCTGGAATGCTTGTTTTGGCAGTGCTGTGGCAAAACTGAACAGTCCAAAAAGAAAATCCATTTGAACATTATTCTCCAGACTCTGTCCTGTAATGAGTTGGGAGTCGGACTGCAGCTTTTTCCTATTTTAGTCAAAGGAAGAGCAGAGCCAGGTAACTCCAGTAACAACGAAAACGGGGGAGAGAACGGGAGCGATGGGGAAAACAGGAAACGGGGATGAAGGCCAAGCAATACCACCGAAAACAAAAATCACCTGGAGAAGAAAGATGCGCCCCAGGTCAATATGAGGACTCCCTCATACTGACCTAAATTAGGGGGAAGGGGTTGGAGGAGAGGAAAAACAGCAGGAGAAAGAAGAAACTGTGCAGGATGGAAACAGCCCCGAGGCCTCCCCTCCCCCTCCTCCACCCAGCACCCCAACAAGCCTGGCGCCCACAACCATATGGCATCTTCACTTGGAGAGACAGATAGGAGAAGATAGAGGATGAGAGAAGGAAGGGAACGTGCTTGTTATCTGCCTTGGACACATGAAAATAGTAGGTTTCTCCTGCTTCACAGACTTTGCGACTATGGATGAGGAGGAAATGAGGGAGGAAGGCTGAGAGTAAAAAGTGGGCGCTTGGGTTTCACCGAAAAATACTTAAAACACTGGGCGTGTGATTGAGTAATGAAAACATATTCTACAACAGACTACTGCATCTCCAGACTGTGAGCTTCAAAATATCAGAGTGACTAAGGTATGTTGGGAAGAAAAAAAAAGCCCTGTAAATATTTAGCCCAGTATGAATGGTTCTTTGTGAAGGCTCAGGTGGGTGCGTATGGTGGCTTACCCTGCTAATTCGCATACCATGTACAGGGTTTACTCTGGATTCTCAAGAAGCTTAAAGTGAGTGTTGGATGAAAAAAGAAGGCCCACACGGCAGTATTCAGCACTAGACTAAATGTGCAAATATTGAAGCTCCACGGATGATCAAGTAGTCCATTAACAGAAAATAAACAGCAAACTGTTTTGGTAACTTCACTGGGTGGTGTTACTATTACTGAGGATGATGGCAACATGATGACATAACATACCCATTACTGAGCGCTAGGATTTGACCAAACTGCCAAAACCCTTCTGTAACTCTTCTCTTAACCTCTGCTAAATGGATGACAAAGCACCAAAAATGTCCAAAGTCAGATTAAGACCATTGTCTCACACTCATATCCAGAGCCAAGAAACTCTTATTGGTTCCTGCAGCTGCTTCCCACTAAAAGCTGCAATTAATTCCCTTAACTGGAAGCTTTTTCCTATGAAGCACCTGCAGGAAGAGTTGGGTTTGCAGGAACAGCAGGCTAACACAAAAGTGTTTTTATAGTTAAATCGGAAAAAGTGAACACACTGATACTGATGTCAATAGTTATAACGAGTGAATTCTTCTGTTTGTGTACTGTGTCTTGAAGCCCGCATTGTGATTTTATCAAGGTTGAGCGTAGCATGTCATCTCATGCCACAACCATTTAGCGTGCCCAACACTCCCTGGTAAATTTCAGCACAGTGGCACGAATCAAAATGTCTGAGCAGGGCAGCTTAGTAACAGAATCAACTCTCAATCAGTTCAGCCAGTGTCCGGTCATTTGGATTGTTGCTCATAAATACATCATGCAATATTAATGTTCTCTGTTGGTGTTATTCATATAATCTTTACAGCCTCTGTAATGCTGTTAGAGCTAACTGTATAAAGGTGAATCTGCAGTTCTGTTCATTTAAAAGCAAGAGGAAAGACTAGGAAGATTTATGGAAAAGGAGCCAGTGAAGGGCACACAAGTGAAGCAGTGAGGAATACGGCCAAGAGACACAGGAAATACTGTATTTTATCCATTCCCAAGAGGCACTTGAGTGTGACAGTCCCCTCATCTGAACATTCTGAATCACTGTAATGTATTTATGGGTCACGACATGTATTTTCCACTCACTGTTACCCTGTGTATCACTCCAGGTTTCAATTTCGTCTCAACTGCCTCCTGTGTTCTCCTCCTCCTGTCAACCTTGCATCATCTCCCCATTCATCTCTCCTTGTGCTGACTCAGCATCTTGCTTACAGTCAACTCCTCCTGCCTTTTTGGCCGACAGGGAACCGATAAGCATCGCTAAAAGTCTGCTGTAGGAAGCCCTCTGGGGGTCACAACTCACTTGCACATCACTGCCAGACATTGATCTGAGCTCAAGTTACTGTATGTGTCATCCACATAAAATCTGAACAAAGGAAAATGTTAGCTTGTCACAGCTGGGGATGGAGCTCATGGCGGCACGTAGCATTGGGCCGCAACTGATAGACAGCGGCAACGGGAAGCACCACAATAAAGAATACTGGAACATTACTGTTTCTCCTCAGTATTTTAAGAAAAGGGGCAAATTCAGGTTTAAAAAGTGTTCTTATTTTGAACATCATATCATTCATTTTCAGTTATTTGTCACAGATAAACTACAAACCTCAGTTTTTTCTCATGTTTAGAATGGTACACATTTAAATCAACATTTCTCAAAGCACTGCCTATTCTGTCAGTGTCTACGGGTCTCTAATTTATCATCACCTTAAATTAGTTTGAAGTGTCGCAGAATCTGTTCTTATCTGGAACTTGAGAAAGCTAGAAGGAAATCTGATCAACTTCAAAGTAATTTGTGTAACGATTGCAACTAATTTTTAAGTCCTTCATTTATCAAAAAGACATACAGATGTTTGATATTTTATGTTGTGCATGAAACTACTTGTCGTCAAATTCACAATCAGTGAACACTTGTCTAAAAGATTACAACAACAAAATGACACCCGGGACAAATGAGCACATTCTGCCACGAGCTGTGGAGTGTTGTCAAGTGAGATGTGCTTTCAAGGGGCTGAGGATGCGTCATTATGCTGAACACAGAATTTCCACTCATACGGTCTGGCTGAGCCCTGCCTATCACTGCAGACACTGTTAAATCTGTTAAAAAAAAAGTGACTTGGGAGTCAAATTTCAGCACGGCTTGAAAAGGACTTCAGACTGTTTTGACTTGCTGTCTGGATTGGCGTGACGTCTTGGCGAAAAATTTCACATTCCAGAGAGTTTGTGAGATACAGCAAAAAGTGCACACACACACACAGGATACATGAGAGAAATTGAGGAGGCGAGCAGGGAAAAGCAAGAAAAGAGCTTATGAGAGAGTCGAGAAAACGAGAGAGGGATAGATGGAGAAAAAGCATGGGTCATAACAATGAGTCTTCTAACCCCTCCCCCATCCCATCCAATGCTCCAGTAGTCTACAGTCTGACAATAGGTCTCCTCAACATAGACACACAGTCTCAGCCAAAACAACAGTATAAACCCCAACAAGCCACAGGAATGCCCTGCAAAAGTGCTTCTGTCACTGGGATGAAATCTAAAAATGTCTGCCTCTTGTGATCCAGGATTAGACTGCTATGTTGTCAGAAATAACCACACAGCTTCCTGCTTCTTTTTAAGTTTGATGAGAAAATACGTATAAAAACAAAAAATAATCTTTTAACTTGATTGAGGTCTGATAAAAATAAGTCTATTCGTTGAAGTCGCGCTGCTTTAAATGTGATCAGACAGTCTTCTTCATATCTCTCAGATGATAACAGCTCGCTTAAATATCTTATCTCGGCTAAAGTTCTCGCCACTGAAACCGAGCTCTTGGAAAATATCAGTAAAAATTTCCATTGCTCTCCTCTGCTCCCGTTCACCGGGTAAACTGGTGGAAAATAATTCATGAACAGGCCGATGGGATGGCTGCTACAGTGACACTGCGATACCCTCATACCATGACTGGCCAAGATCTCTCACCTTGAAATTGCTGGAGTTCACCCATCCTGTTAACTCGTCGATGGTCTTATCCAGCCGGGGTTTGTCCTGCTCCACGTCCGGGGACCGCTGCGGGTCGTTCAGGTAGTCGATGAGGTCCTGGCCGACCTGCAGTCTGCGGGTAACGTCTTTCTGCAGTACCTGCTGGTAAAAATAGTCCATGTTGTCATGTTCCTCCATGGGGCACTCAGTGCCGAGTGGCCAGCCACCGAAGCCGGCCGAAGACAGGAGACTGTGGTTGGTGGGACGGGGTGTGAAGGACTCTAGCTGTGAAGTGTCGTCCCGCCGAGGGGCAGAGAGGCTGTGCTTTCTGAACTGCGTCTAACTGGTGTTTGGTCATCCACATGCAATTATTCCTAAAATACAGACTAATTTCGCACATAAATCATCCCTCTGCAAAACAAGCTCGACTTTGTACGTTACGACAAAGAGGTCGCTCGCTACTTTCTGGACTACCAACGTTAGCTCACAGGAAACTTAAAACTTAACCAAACTTCAGGAAACGAGCAGTGGACTTCAGCAGCTTCTTTGAATATATCCGCATCAAAACAAGCTAGCAGTGCTGGCTGGCTATGTGTTATGCTAACGAAAATAGCGCCTAGCTAGTTAGCGCAGCGACCCAAACAATGCTAGACAGCTCGGCTAGCTGACGTTAGTTCTCCGCAGGCCTAACGCCTGACTCCACTCCGCTCCTCTATTCCATGACCACAGGCTTTAAAGTCCTTCAGCTGTCCGCTCCGTCTGCGGGAAACTTGCACCAAACTTCCACAACAAGAACTCAGCTCCAGTCCCGCGGTAACTGGTTTCACTTTAATCCGGGAATAATCGCGGCTACCACTAAACCCGTTAAGAGGCGCTGGAAGCCTGCGCGTTGCCGGGGACTGCAGTTCACCAGGAGGCGCAACCGATCAACGATCAGGCCGATGGGTCTTCAGGCACCGCACAGCTAGCCAGCACAATGCCTGACGGAAAATGTAAAATTAACAAGTATACTGGGAGCAACACCTGTACTTGTACAACAAAGTAGATACAGTACATGAGTTAAATTATATCTTTCTCATTACTTATGGTTTTGGAATTTTTGTTTTCTACAAGAATCAAGAATCAAGTCATCCTGTTGATGGGGGCGTGTCCACAGCCAGCACGGCTCTCTGGTGACATCTAGCGGCTGAACTGCTGCACAGCCTGGACTCTGTTTGTCGCAGTTTACTATGAAACAGACCGTCCAGATAGTATTCGTAAGAGTTTCAGTACGTAACTAATAGAGTTTTTTAGAGACTTTTTTGGATCTGGAGGACGGTCCATGCCTCTTCAATAAAGTAGTTCCCACCACATTACCTTCAAGTTCTAATTATGTTTTAAAGAATACATCCTAATCTGATGTTCAAAAGGCATTTTAAGATTTTTCCCCCTATTTCAAATTATGTCCAAGGTCAAAAGTCACCTGTTTAACTGAAATCTGTACATAATGTTTGGAGGAACGTTTTCAAACCAACATTCAAAAAATGTTTCCAAGATGTTATTGAGGTCTAAGATGACAGAATGTTTTTCATAAATTGCTCCTGTACTGTGGCATATTAACAAATGTAGTTGTCTGCAATATTTTGATGATGTTTTGCGTATGTAATTGGAGTAGCACATCATAGAATGATAACAAGGAAGGAAGGAAGGAAGGAAGGAAGGAAGGATGCCAAAAATTGATCTCAATGGCATCGAGGTCTAAGATGACAGAATGTTTTTCATAAAAGGCTCCTGTACTGAGGCACATTAACAAATGTAGTATCCTGCAATATTTTGAGGATGTTTTGTGGATGTCATTGGGGTAATGCATTATAGAATGATAACAAGGAAAGAAGGAAGGATGCTAACAACTGATTTCCATGGCATTGAGGCACAAGATGACAGAATGTTTTTGGTTTTTTTAATGTTCTTGTAATGTGAAACAATAACAAAGGTGGAATGTTTTGCCAGAAATGTTCTGAGAAGGTTTTGAGGATGTTGTTAGGGGAACACATTACATTTCCTCCATAAAACATTTCCACAATGTTACTTTAAAAAAGGAAGGATGTTCTCAACATTCCACAAATATTTTAAGAAGAACATTGTTAGTCTTTAGAAAACTTTACCCTGCCTTTAAATAGAACATTCTGGGAACTGAAAAAAAAAGACTTCCTGCTGAAAACATTACGACAGCTTTGTAGAACTTCTCAGAACATTTTAGGACAAATAAAGTCTTGCTGGGTTGAAGCTTATCTGTAGATAAACTACACTTTCACAACATCTCACCTTTTTAAAGGCCTAAATTTTAATCTATATTCCTTAAAATTCTGCTTATTTCTTTCTGTGTGTATAGTTTTCTCATTCCCTATTGCCTTAAATTAATTTGAAGTGTTACGAAACTGCAAAATCTGTTATTATTCTTAATTTAGAGGACACTGAGAGGGAATCTAACAAACATTAGTGAATTTTGTGCAAGATTCAACCTGATATTGAAGTCTTCATTCATCAAAAAGAAAAAAAGAAACACAATTGTTTGATACTGTGAGTCATATCAGTGCTTCATTGAACTAGAGAAGCCTCTTCGATGACAGGTTGAAAATCCTCAAGAAATCAAAAAGAAAGAGTTGCTTTTTATTGCAACTCTTAGTATAATTATGAGCTGAATGACTGAGAATCTACACAGACGCTCAGATAGCACAAAATCTCACACTGCAGAGACAAAGCACATTTACTATTAGTCACCTTTATTTATTCATTTGTTTATTTTTTCATTTATTTCTTTATTTTCTTAAACATAAAACTGTTAAAACTGCTGTCAAACAGAGGGCATTAGTATCACAGCCAGTCAAAGTCAGCTATGTATCTGAGTCCATCTGCGTCTTTCTTCATCTTTCTGTCTGTTGTCTCAGTCCTATCCACGGTCCTGCCAGTCTCCCCAGTCTTTGAGCACTTGGCACTACACAGCACTTGTCAGTCTCTTGTTTAGCACAATTTTACAAGCCGCTTTTGTTTCATTGTATTTTCAGTGCTTGAAGTGGTCGCATTCATGCCCCGTACACCCTGCGTGGCAAGACACATAATATTGGGATACCGTCGATCTGAAGGAGTTTCTGTATAAAGTGAAATTAACTGTTGGTTCTGGGGCTTTTCAGTCGCTGCACACCACTTCACCTGTCGCCACACACGTTTTGTCGGATTGGATGAGTGGGAATTTGTCAGGGATCAATTAAGAGTTCTCCAGACCTGTGTCAAATGCTAATGTGCTACTTGGGCCCCAAAGCTAGTGCGGTATATTGAAGACAGCCAATTCATTAAATCCTACATCTTCAGTAAATTGACAAATACACAAAACTATACTAAATCACCTTTCAAATATATAAACTCATGTGATTGTCAAAAAGTTGAGGTGCCTTTGCTCGCAGTCTCATAGCTCTTATCTCGAAGCAAATTTCCGTCTCACTTTTGCAGCAAAGTTACATCAACGTTAGCCCTGATTGATATCCACACACACACACAACGATAAATCTGAATCATGGACGTCACAGCCCACTTAAAAACAGTGCGTATGCCACAGTTGTATCAGTGTTACTAAACTATTCAGAGTAGTAACCGACTCTGAATAGTAGGGAGACTGGACACCAACTGATGTAAACAAGTTAGTCTGTGGTGCTAACCTAATCCAGGATGTAAACAAATCCTTAATTGGTCAAGTAGGAGCTAGTGCACAGGGCTACTGACAGGATTGGATCAGGGCCTACAAGCCAACATAACCACGCAGTACACAGGAGAGGCCACTCATCCCAGCAGCATACAGTGTCAACATAATGCTTTTAGACACCGAGGGTCTGAATCATAGGTCCTTTTTTTGTCAAACAGCAACAGTTTTTTCTTTTACTTTTCAAAAAGAAAGACAAGCGTATCTCCCTCTCTGAATAGACAGGCATGGACAATTACAATAAGCACTGAAAAAAGGAAAAAAAACAAAACATTTTTGTTGGCCTTTCCCAATTTTTGAGTGAGTTGCTGTCGGAGTAATTCTTTTTTTTTTTTTGTTCCATTGCAAAACATTCTCTGTACAAACAGAATCAAAAATCTCAACAGAAGTTTCTCAGATGCACAAATATGTCACATGTCCCATTTCTGTATTTCCTGTTTTTCCCCCTCCCAACTCTTGTTGAGTTGAGCTGGCCCGTGCCAAAGCTTCACAGTTTATATCCAGGAGAATCTGCATTTCCCCTCCCGCCACAGCCCAGCTCTCCTCTCCGTCCATGCTGTGTGTCTATTGGTCGAAGCAGAATGAATCACAGGATGGTCACATAGAGGTGTCATGTGATTGGTTGAGATGATACTCCACAGAGAGTGAGCTGTTGTCCAAGATGACAATATCATCATCTTTTTTTCTTTTCTTGTTTTTTTTTCTTCAAATTTAGTTTCAACATGATGCATTGTAGTTCCACTGTTCAGACCTCCCTCCCCATCTGCAGCAGTCCAGATGCAGTCCTTGAAGCCCACCCAGGCGGGGGAGTCGGGGGGTGTGAGGAGCAGAATGGAGTGGAGAACTTGTTTTTGTCTTTACAGCGAGAGCGAGAGAGAGAGAGAGAGAGAGAGAGAGAGAGAGAGAAAAAGATAGAAAGTTCGTCCATCCACGTTCTTCCCTCCAACCCGTCCGCAGTGTAACCCCGGAGCTGCTGCGACGCTGACCGGTGAGCGACAGGAGAGAGAAGGGGCGGGTTCAACTGATCAGGGATCAGCGGCGATCAGTCTATATATTGATCAGTGATCAGGAGCAGTGAGTGGGTCCAGCCCCTCCTCTCCCCTACGCCTACCCCAGTTCCCCTCCCCCATCCCCATATCAGCCCATTTCTAGAGCAGCAGGACCTGTAGACAGAGGTGGCCCCCCCTGGCCCTCCACTGTCAGAGGATGATGCAGCAGCGGCACAGACGCTGGCCACCTCCATGTACAGAGGGAGGGGGTGTCACTGGGGCAAAGTAGGCATGGACCTTGATCTCTGGAAGGTGGGCCTGTGTAGGGGAGAGACGTGTTAATGCGAGGCTATAAAAAGACCCCCGCCCCAGAAAAAAGGAAAAGGATATGATCAGGATTCTAACCTGTGGAACATTTTGCAAAAAATCAGTGTGTTTACATGTTGAAAAAGAGCTAAGACAATTAGTAGAATCAATGGAAGTTGAGCTAACCAGCTGTATCCTCATATTTAATGACCACATATGAAAGTAGCATTGATCTTCTCATCTAAATGTTGTCCAGTATGGCTAATTAGTCCTTTAACTCAGGTATACACTAGATAATTTCTACATAGAAGCAGAGCATAGAGGTAAGTATTAAAACTTTAAATTATCATAAACAGTACGTCATTTTCCACCATGACCTCTGACCCTGATGCGTTCGATGCCAGCCCTGGTCAGGACTCTATTCTGAGAAACAATTTGTGAGAAACACTGTGTTTGCGTGTTGAAACAGAGCTGAGAAAAATCAATAAAATCAATGGAACCTGAGCTAACCAGCTGTATCCTCATATTGAGTGTAGTATTGATCTTCTCGTCTAAATGTTGTCAAAAATGTCAAATTATTTTTTAAAAGCAGGTGTAAACTAAATGTTTTCTACATAAAAGCAGAACAGAGAGGTGGACTTGGGGGGAAAAAAAGACTTAAATCCCACAAGAGCAGATTCTACATGATAAAAAAGCAGTATGTAATTTTCTGTCATGACCTCTGACCCTGATGCGTTTGATTGTCACCCCTGGCCAGGATTCTAACCTAAGAAACAATTTGTGAAAAACACTATTTGTAGAGCTCAGAAAAATCAATAAAATCAATAAGACCTGAGCTAACCAGCTGTATCCTCATATTTAATGGACACAAATGAGTGTAGTATTGATCTTCTCGT